GCCCCAATGGGGCTCCCATGGCTTCCTGGTGCTTTGATGGACGCGGCTAAGGGGCTAGGCATAACCCTAAGGGCTTCGGTAGGGCTAGCCATGGCAGCGGTGATGCGGCGGCGACAGCGTGCGGCGATGAGGTCGCTACAGTCTCAATTGGAGCCAAAGGTGGCTCCTTTCCTTCGATTGTGGCCACGGGGGAGGTAAAAGACTCGATGGCGGGAACCATAAGGCGTAGTAGAGCTCGCACCGCGGCAAGGTGCGCGGTAGAGCTCCGGCGAGACCATAGCTATGGTGAACTAGGGCAAGGCAAGGGCTTTGAGCTCAACCAACCTCACAGCGAGGTGCACGGGCTCAAGGTGAAGCTTGATGGCCTGTCCTCGATGCCCGAGGTGGCCGAAGTCGGTCGGGACGACCTTGGCATGGCAGTAGCGCGAGTGCATGGCCACGCCGACGCGGCAAGGCGACCAATGCCTCTAGGGCTTCCTAGGCTAGCGCGGCCAGGTTACACGCATCCGGCAGCGAGGCGAAGCTCATTGTGGTGGTGGTTTTACCTCTACCCTCTCGGATCCGCCAGAACAGAGCTTCACCGTGGCGGGGTATGGCCGCAGCGAGCTCTAGCATGTGAGGGTGCGCCGCATTCCTGAGCCAAGGTAACTTGGCATCGCTACGTTGCGGCCGTTTGATGAGCGCGTATACGTGGGTGCTAGGCAACGATGAAAGGCAATGCCTTTGGCTCTTCTAAGGTGGAAGAACACGACAGGCAACCAAGGTGTTCATGCCGGCAAGGGTAGAGCGGGAACTCGGGGCACACCGGTGGTGGCAGTGGTGCTAGGCTAGTGGCGCAGGGATGAGGCAGTGTAGTGATGGTGAAAGGCGGCGCCTTTGGGTCTTCCAAGGTGGAAGAACACGACGGCGCCCATGGCATTCACGCCGGCAAGGGTAGAGCGGGGAACTCGGGGCACACCGGTGGTGGCAGTGGTACTAGGCTAGCGGCGCGAGGATGAGGCAGGGCAGTGCAGTGAGAGCCAGTTTGCTAGTGTAGTCGTTCAAGGTGGTGTCCTCCGCTTCGGCGACATTGGCGGTGCTCCGGTGACTCGGTCCTCCTCCCTCCTGCTCTTCTCCCCTCTTCTCCTTCCTTCTCGGTCTTGGCTTGGTGATTGTGTTGCCACCAGTGGCGATGGGTGGATGGGAGAAGGGCTAGGGCACCGACTCAGGGCTTTTATAGCCCGAGCTTGATCATGGCAGCGGCGGACGATGGGGAGCAGGGAAGGGACATGTGTAGGGTGGTCGGGGGGCTCTAGCTAGGGTTCTAGGGATCGGGGGTGAGTGCGGCTGCCTTGGCGCTCCCATTTTTGAATGGCGCTAGTCAAGGCGAGTGCGGTGGTGGCAAAGGGGGTGTGGCAGGGCATGGGCCATGGAGCTCGCGTCAGCGGGTAGGTGGTGGCGCGGATCGCCGACGTGGCGGCCATCTAAGGAGTGCATGAGGCGATAGTGGATGAGAACGGCCATGATGGCCATTACTGTTCTCGACTTCACGCCAGCTTCGAGCGCGGCAAAAAAGCAGAGGAGGGAGGAGAGGAAGGGGGTGATAGGTGGGGTCTAACGATCAGCGACCGCGGGGAAGGGCAACGGCGGGCTTCGTCGCAACACGGGGCATGGCATGGGCTGTTGCTAGGCCAGCGGGGGCCATGCGCGGGCACGTGTGGGGGAGATGGGCCACGGCAGCTATGGGCTGGGCCAGCTAGGCTGCTTCCTCTTTCTCCATTTCTCCCTTTTTCTTATTCCCTTTATATTTTCTATTCTACTTCTTAGGCTCCTATGCATGTATACATGTGTTGCCAACATATACACACCCTTGTGGGGTCCACTAGGGGTCATCTAGGGTTCTAGGATCCAAGCCAAGGGTTGGCAACCTTCACACATCAAGTTTATTGTAAGGGTTTAGTCGATTTTATTTCATCACATAAAATCAAGAAGATGCAACTCATAAGTTGTTTAATATGCAAATGCTCAAACATGCTAGCTTGGGATATACTTGTGCAACTACAAGGGTGTCGATAAAACTTGCTTAGCAGTCCACCAAGGGGTAGCCCAAGGTGGTAGATTTGTTCTTAGAGGTGAGCGAGATCAGGAGCAAGATGGTAACAGAGATACAAGACACAAGATTTATATAGGTTTAGGCCGTCAGCACGACGTAATACCTACATCATGTGCTCTGTTAATTTGTATTGATTGGGTATGAGATTGGGATCTGATATTGGATCTGCCCTCTAGGGGACCCTGCCCCTCCTTATATACTCTAGAGGGGTAGGGTTACAAGTTGAATATCCTATTTGGTTCAATATCTAATAAATCATAGCGGCGCACGTCGAGCTGAGCCGTGCGCCGTACGCCTCGATCTTATGGGCTAGGCCACCTTTGAGGCGCGGCCCATGTCTTGTCTTGTGGGTACCGGGGGTCATATCCCCCACAAAGAATGTTTTCCTAGTATGCACACTCACCATGCATGGGTTTTATTAGAAAAAATTTTAAGTTCAGATTTTTGGTTATCAGAAAAACTTGGGTTGTTAGACAGTCCAAGAAGGGAGAGAGTAAAGGGGAGGGAAGCCAAGCGGGCCAGCTTGGCCAGTGAGCCTGCGGGATAGGGAAAGAGTGGAGGCAGTCGGGCTAGGAAGTTAGGCCAATAGTCCAGAAGCCGAGAGAGTGAGGAAGGGAAAGGAATTCTCCTTTTGCTTTTTATTTTCATAGTTTTACTAATCCAATTTCAAAAGCATTTGAAATCTTTTGTGATTTGGTCAAAACCAGACATCACAAGATAAAAGTGCAGCAGCATGAGTGTATCAACATGTATCTAGCCTTATAGTTGATTTTAATTTCATAAAAAATATTATTTCAGTAAGTTTGAATGCTCACAAAAATGCATAAATAAATCAATTTCACTTATTTTGAAATGATGCGAATTTTAGGGTGTTACAGTGGTCTAGGGTTGGGTCATGGGCTTCGGCAAACCCAATGGGCTTGTTGGGCTTTTTTAGTTTCTAAAATTATTTTTGGAGATGGGCGCTTTTAACCTCCTCGGTCAATGTTGATTAACAATGAAGCTATGTCACAGGCGGATGCTCCACCCGTCTCTTGAAACCATTTTTGTCCATCTCATGTAAATTGTTTTAGTAGTAATGCCTGCCCCCATCTGGATCAGAGCCGCACCGCTTGCCTTGGTCACTCCCTATGCGATGATTGTCGTCAAGTCGCATGTCCCGGTGACCCTTGAGTTGAAGCATCCCAACATCAACAGCTGGTCCCATTTTTCCTCTCCCTATGTGGCAAGTTCGAGCTTCGCTCGCACATCGATGGCATCACCATGGCACGCCCACAGGATCCCCCAGTGGACGATTGCTGACTCCTGCGTCCATAGCTGGCTTCTTGACTCAATTGCGGACAACATCCTTGGCCTTGCCCTCATGCCTAAACATGCTGCCCACTAGCTCTAGGTTGTCGTCCTCAGCCACAATCCAAGTTCAACTCCATGACCCAAGGCGGCCTCTCCATTGATGAGTACTATTAGAATATGAAGGTCACGGCCGACGACGCGTTGTGTGGACATTAACCACTCCATCCTCGATTCGCAACTTGTCCTCAACCTGTTGCACCGCCTCAACCCTTGCTTCTCTAGCACCACCGACAACATCGCCGATGCTGACCTGCTGCCTGACTTCACCACCACCCGCTAGAAGCTGGTCCTCAAGGAACTTCACCTCCCCAACAAGAGCAAGCTCGTAGACTGCGCTACACGCTAGCTCCTCGCCCTGCGGCTTGTCGTGTCACGCAGAGACCCACGGTGGCTACAACCACAAGAAGGGCGGCGGCAACAGCGGCCCTACCTGTCGGTCGGGCCTTGGGTGTGCTTCACCCCTTGGGGAGAGCAGCAGCAGTTCTGCCCAATCTTTGTGTTTCTACACCCTCTAATCTGGTCAGATTAGAAATTAACCGAACAAACCCTTAGCCTGTTGGCACCCATCAATATTGAGTTGTTCTCCCATAGTGTACTATATCTGACAATATGTCATTACTCAAGCTGTGTTTGTTTCCCGCCGGCAAAAGTTTAGCCCTGTCACATCGATTTTTTGATAGCAATTAAGAGTATTAAATATAGGCTAATTACAAAAGAAATTACACAGATTGAGACTAATTTGCGAGACGAATCTATTAAGTATTATTAGTCCATGATTTGACAATGTGGTGCTACAGTAAAACATTTGCTAATTATAGATTAATTAGGCTTAATAGATTCGTCTCGCTAATTAGTCTACTCATGTGTAATTAGTTTTATAATTAGTTTATGTTTAGTCTTTCTAGTTAGCATCCGAATGTCCGATGTGACGCGACTAAATTTTAACCCCCTGGATCCATACACAGCCTTAGTACTAATTAAAACACATGCTTCAAGCGTGAGATAATACGCGGATTACAGCTAAGAACCGCTCATCCTTTTTGGTCAACCACATGACCGAGTTGTACTAGCTTCCAAATGTCCCGTCATACCGTGTTTCACCATTGGTCAGATGTGCAGAGCTATTGGCTAGACCATGTAGCTGATCCGGAGTCAAGTCAACCGTTTTTTGTTTGTCAACGTTGCACCTCGACCCCTCTTGATATATAAATGGCTGGATGGGAACCTCATCGCCAAGCAGCAAATTAAAACTCCTGTCTCTGCTATCGCTTCCAGCAGGTATGTGCTAATACTCCTGGGTAGTTTCAATTCTTTGTGCACAAGGCAAATCATGTGTGAAGCTTGGTCCAAATGGGAAATAGTTAATCGTACGTGTATGTCATGGAAGTACATGTCAAATTTTGTGCATTTGGTGGTAATTGTTTCAATCTGTTGTCCTGTTCGTCCTAATAATTAACATGCTGTTAAACATATACATATTCTTGTTAGTGAATGTTAAATGAAGGAGTTTTCCCCTCTCAGGAAGAAGACCCAACATATATAAGCGTAGTGGAACATGTCTGACGACTTGGATATTAAACTCCATTTGCTCGAAACAATAACTAACAAATTTTCAGAGGATCACAGGGTTGGCAGGGGTGGGTATGGAGCTGTTTACAGGGTATGAATGGTCATTATGTTTCCTCTAGGTTTCAATTAACTTTCAATTATATACAACTGCCAGCAGCTATAAGTTTGTGATCTATATCCACAAGTGATTTTTGGCAGGGGGTGTATAAAGGCAAAGAGATTGCCGTTAAGAAGCTTCATCAGTTGCAAGGGCTTGATGATAAGGCATTTGATAATGAATTCCGCAACCTTAGCAAGGTCCACCATAAGAATGTGGTAAAGTTAGTTGGCTACTGTTACGAATCAAGAAGAAAATATGTCCAACACAATGGTGAACTAATTTTAGCCACACTAATGGAGCGAATTCTCTGCTTCGAATATATGGAATGTGGAAGCCTTGATAAACATATCACAGGTATGATGATCGATTAAGTTCCATGCATATTATCCAACTTTTTGCCAAACTAAAATGAGTGATTTGTAGCTTTATAGGCTTTCCTTTTCCATTTTTACTTGCAGATGAATCTTGTGACCTTGATTGGCCTACATGTTACCAAATTATTAAAGGAACATGTGAGGGTATAAATCACCTTCACAGTGCATATGAGAAACCTATTTTCCATCTGGACTTAAAACCTGATAATATTTTGCTGGACAACAATAAGATGGCCAAAATTGCAGACCTTGGTTTGTCCAAACTCGTTGCTTCAACACAGACCCATAAAACAGAGACTGTCAAAGGAACACAGTAAGTTCCGCCTAATTATCTCGTTGTTCCTTTTTTTCAAAACGTCAATTTTGTAGTTCCGCCTTAGGTCTTATTTGATGCTTATGTATCCACCTCAATCCATGTGTATTAGGATGGATTGGTGTGGAATTTAGTTCAAATTCTACATCAACACACCCTAACACACATGAATTGAAATGGATACATGGACATCCAAACAAGACCTTAACATATAGTTCCATTATTCATATTGAGCTAATCACATCCATACTGATGATATATATGCTATGCAGCGGCTATATGCCACCAGAATATGTGGATAATGGATCTGTTTCAAAGAAGTATGACGTGTTCAGTCTTGGAGTTATAATTATTAAAGTAATGGATGGAAATATGGGTCGCACCCGCTCTGCTGAAATGGACGCCAAGCAGTTCACTGAGCATGTAAGAAAAAAAAACATGAGGAACGATCGTCTCTTTTTCCCATAATTTTCTGTATCATTTGCATTCATTTTATTTGATGTTCCTTAACTTTATGTGCCAATCAGGTATGTGAAAAGTGGAAGAAAAGGCTGCAAGAAATGCCTGATGAGCATCCATCGCTGGAAATAGAAATCCTACGAGTGAAGAAATGTATTGACATCGCCTTAAGATGTGTGATAGCTGACAGGAAAACGAGGCCGTCTATAAAGGATGTTGTCGATGAACTGGAACAATTACAAGCGGAAATTATGAAAATGTCACTACCATCTGATGAGACAAAAGATCTAATTGTCCAGGTACAACCATTCTGATAGAATATAGATGCTTGAGTGATTCAAATCACCTTTTGTTAGCCTACTTTGGAAAAAAAACAAATGTTTTAGATTCATAGGTTCTTTGAGCCAGGATGCCTAATAACTAGGATTTGTGTAAAAACATTTCATGAAGTAAAGTGTTCATAAGATCCAAAATACAAACACTTATATGTTAGATTGCATCCGAATTGATTTCATTAAACAATGTACTAGGATTTAGTCAAAATAATGGGACCCATGCGATTTACTTTGACAATTAAGCTTACTTCAGCGTGCTATGATAAATAAAGCACACACATTCACATAATCACATTAATTAACCCCTTCATCCTTGCAGAGAAGCTCTGACTTCAACTTTCTTGCCATAGATCCGGCCCTGGAGCTGCGCTTCCTATTCGAGCCGAGGAAGGCCATATCATGTTGCCTGCAGCTAACCAACATTACTGATGGATACATTGCATTTAATATAAAGATCAACAGAACCAAGTACAGGGCACAGCCGAGCAAAGGAATGATGCGGCCGTGCTCCAAGCGTTATATCACTGTCACATTACTAGCACAGGAGGAGGCACTTGTGCAGTGCAATGACATGTTTATTGTACTGGGTGCAAATGTTAACAAGGACCTGAAATCCGACGAGATCACTGAAGACTTGTTCAAAGAAGCCATGAAGGGGAAGGTGGTTGATGTGGTAAAATTGCCGATTGTTTATGTTGTCATGGACCAGTTTTCATGTTAATAGTTGTTATGAAACAATTCGTGAATGACTCTTACAGGCTTCATATCGAATACAGAGTCCTAGATAGGGGTGGGCATTCAGTGTGACCAAAGAATCGGTTCGGTCTTTCTGTCTTTTCAAGATCTAGGTTATCAAAAATGAAGATTTAGCATGTGTGCATGATTGGTAATGTTTTCAAACCTTTGTACTACTTTTTTCTATAAATCTAAATAAAAATATTTTCATTGTACATATACTTTGATGCCAAAATTTGTTAGTGTTCATACATATCATACAGTGGCACGAAAAATAAATCATTGCAACGTTTCCATTCAAGAATGCAGGATTTCATTTCTACATGAATAGCTCGAGTGCAAATGTCACAGGATGCATGGAACATCCATTGAAGCTATGCATCTTGCTCATCAAGAACAACCCAAAACCTTCAGCTCAAAAATGTTCAAGAAAATCACCAAAGAAGGAAAGCAAAGTTTTGGGGCTTGGATCCAAGAGATCAGAAGCTGGGTTTCAAGACATGGTTTAGATATGTTCCAAGGATCCCAAAGACTTCTAAACATGTGTCAAAGATACGGCCAAACCAGCAGCACGAAAACACCGAAAAATGACCACTAAAAACACCAAAAAAAGAGAAATTTCAAATTTGGGAGAGAAGTGACGTACGAATTTGGTCTCTTGATTACTTCACCATGTGCTATTACAAGCCACTCCTAATAGATCACAAACTTTGGATAGAGAAAAGCTCAATCAAGGAGACACTCCTCCCTCTCCCTCTCTTCCTAGCCCTAACCCAAAAGTTCTCAACCTAACTAATCCCAAAGGCATCTAAAGGCTTGGCCTCACAACCAGCCACCTCCCATATATATAGGAACTTGGCTATTTTATAAGTCGCGCTTAGACGAAGCGCTTAGCCCAAACACCTAACATAGGTAAATCTATCCAAGTTTTTCTTCAACGATGCAACGGACCGACGCCTTTCTCAACTCTACTTCACCTCTCGATGCAAGCTTCGAGATCCACCACGTGTCCGTCGATCCACCACTCACTGATTTTGAGGTCCAAACCGGTCAAACCCACCACCAATGGTTTTGATGCATAAACCACCAAACCGTCGATGCCTAGTTTTGAGAGTCAAACTAGCAAACCCTCCTCCGATGGTTTCGAGACCCAAACCATCAAACTGTCCATCCTGATTTAATGACCAGACCGACAAACCCCTCATGCACGTCTCACTAGGAGTGACTCACTAGTGTCGACGTGTATTCAACCTCCGCCAAGCTTGACGCCTTCGCCTTCCTTCTTAACTTGACCAACGCCATCTTCATTACCCGTGTAGATGTGTGTCCAAGCTCCGCCAACGTGCTCCTCCTTGACTTGGTCGATGCCATCTCTATCACCAATGTACTCTTGCTCTTCCTGTGCCCGATGTGAGCTGCACATGGTCTGATCTCTGGTCATTGGTCCCTCGGTCCAAGCCTTCTCGTCCGCCCTCCACCGCTCCCGGTCTATCGCGCACGAACTTCACACTTGACCTTCTCCATTGCCCTCGACTGTCTTGGCGCACCCAACACCTGCATATTCACAAGCCAAGAGACATGTTGCACAACACACATGACACAACTCAACACGACACCTCCGATTAGCCATTAGAACAAACAAACACATTTGAAATATGATTCAACCGGAAAAGTCTAAAACCTCTCAACTCTTGTGTCAATCATTCATCACACACACATGGGCACATCTCCGCCATGTATTCACATGGTGAACCATACCTATCTGCTCAGCTCTGTGCACATAGCCACTTCCTTAAAGTCCAAAACCAAAAGGAAGCTTCATCAACACTGTAGGCTGTGTTTGAGAGCTGAAGCGTACATCAGCTAGGTTAGGTGTACACAATCACTTCCAAAAATTCCGAAACCAAAATAAATGCTTGCTTCACCACCAGAAGGTTGTAGTGTTGAGAGCAGAAGTGCAACTTCAATTCGTGTAATCATCCCCGAGCATTTCCAGATAAATGGGTGATATATAGGACACTCAGAGATAAGAACAAGATGAATGTAGACCGAGATGCATGCTTGTCTGAAGTGGGAAGCAATTTTCCAACAAAAATATTTACAGTCACATTGGCATGTAGACCAACAGAAAGCTTTCTTGTACTCCCTCCACTCCAAATTATTCTTGTACTCCCTCCACTCCAAATTATAAGACGTTTTGGATTTTCTAAATACATAGCTTTTGCTATGAACTTAGATGTACACTATGTCCAGCTACGTAGTAAAAGCAATAGCAATGTATCCATAAAAGATAAAACGTCTTATAATTTGGAACGAAGGAAGTACTTTTTATTTTAAGACTTCCCCCTAAAGACAAAATCAAATTAAGCTTTATTTTCTTGTGCAAACAAAAATAAGTTTTATTTTCTATTCAAACACTTTTTTTGAGAATTTCTTTTCGAACACTTGGTATATTCACTAAAAACTGATGTCGGTAAAGAACCGTAACTCCAATTGGGCCAACCTTGCTTTTTCAAGTTCCTTTCCAGATTTTTAAAAATTATTTGATTTTAATTGAATATAAAATTAGATCAAACCTAATTAAAATCTCACATAATATGCCCCCACGGTCTTAGAAATGTTGCTAACTCCTAAAAAGGAACTATAGCTAATCCAAACAGTCCAGCTTATAGCCTATTTTAAACCATTCAACCTCTGAGCTTATTAGATTTACCTGATAAAAACAAGCCTTGTGTCCGATGGTGGAAGAAAATGATCCTCCATGAACGGCACGCCTGCACTCCCAAGTTGCTCAACGGGGACGCATGGAACCCGGACAAGACGCGCGCGTATGGTACTCGCGGCTCAGACGCAGCAGTAACCGCCCGCCCGATCGCGCCGCAGGTGCTCAGTCAAGGCCTCATTTCGGAGCCCCTCAGCACTGCATGCATCGCGCCGCGATCGTCTCCGCCTCCCCATCCCCAGGCTATAAATCCAGCAGCAGCAGGGGCACGACGCAAAGGCAGCCCATGCCGCCGCAGGGGAGGCGAGCGAGCATGGAGCTCACCACGTAGCTCGATCGAGGGGTGGTTCTGCGCCTCGAGCACGACGACAACGGAGACGAAGTCGCCGCCGCCGTCCACGTCCACCGGCGAGGACAGACCAGGGGAGGACACGGCGCCGCCCTCCTCCTTCCCGGGAGGGTGGCAAAGGCCGGGACAGCCATTACTCATCTCGCGCGCTTGACGACGACTCCACCACACCCATGGGGCCCGACGAACGGAGCTCCGTGGCGCCGCCTTTGGCCGGCCGCCAATGCTTGTCCGGATTGGTCTAAGACTCTCGCCGCTCGTGGAAGAACGGATGAGAACCCCTCCACTCTTCTTCTAGTCTAGTTACAGAAAAATGGTACATCTGTCGAGTCTGTTGTTTTTTTTTAATGATCTTTATATTATGTGAAATAAAGGGGCATTATAACATTCTGAATCTTGTCACTTGTCAGTGCAATAGTTTTCGTAAATTTACTCTAATCATTATCTGCAAAATTGATGACATATCAACACGGCAATGCGCGGCATGCCATGTGTAAGAAATTCAGTTAACTGACTGATGGGACATCAGGTACTCTCTGGAGCTTCAGTTTTGACATGTGATCTCCATCTCCTTTTCTTTCTTGGCGTTTAATGAGTGGACAAAATCCTTCAGATAACGAGTGTTACCTGCTGCCGATATTGTTGTGCACAAGTCATTGATCTCTCCCAATGTAAGTCTAGATCGTTTCATGTAAACTACGACTTCCCGTAGTTAAACAGGCGTTCAGGAGCCTGCAGCTCAGCTGATGTAGTTGTCACAAGGGGTTACAGAATGCAGTTTTACCAAACTTAACATGAATGACAGATAGACGAATCAGTATTACCCTCTAAAACAATAGTCATCTGAAATGAGTTTACTTCATCTGTTTATCTACAAACAAGTACATAAGTATGAAAAGGGAACATATATGTAATGTTTACATATATTACACCGTAGTCGTGAAATTGTCCACGTTCGTGCAGACTGAACAAAGATAGGCAGGACGTCCTGCCAGAAATTCGCCTACTCCAAAAAACAACGATCTTGTCCAGTGACCTGTATGAACCTTCAGTTCATCAACAGATCACAGATGTGATCTTCATTTCTGTACTTTCCTTCAGTTCTTAGCTTATAAATGGCACCAGGGTGAAGGCAAAGCTTCAGAATGCATTAGCTGATGGCAATGCTAGTTTCAGATGCCACCAATCCCACTCCTCAAAAGAGAAGGCCATCCTCCGGTTTTGGAGATCACAGCTGAGATCTTTTCAAGTAAACTATCACTGCTGCGCCACTGAGAGCCACTACACCGGCCATTAACCCAACATGAACCAGCGATATCCCACTACTGCAGGGAGGTGGTGCCAGCTCCTGTGACAGTTTTGTCACTTCGGTATTCAAACTGGGATCTTCGATGTGCAACTTCAGCACCTGAAGGTGAACATTTGTTTTAGTCAGGTGGATCAAGCAAGTAATTTGTAGCCCTACAGCCTGCAATCGAATAGATAATCACAGAAGGCACACAAAAAAAAAAGACTTACCTTCAACCCAGATGATTTGGCATGCAGCACTGCACCAGCAAGATCGGCGTCTGTTGTCAGCAGCACTCGGTCACCTTCATCATCTTCATACTACATAGAACAAGATCAAGTTGGCTAGTGCAGGCAAATACAAACCATCTTTTAGTTGGTGCAATGACGAATGAAACCATTTATACCATCACCCATGGTGATGCAAAGACATGGTCACATGGATGAGTTCACACTCTTCAAGTATAATAAACACAGTTAATTTTTCATCAACAGAGTAAGGGAAACTTTGGCTTTTGCTATCAGATATTGGGGCATTGGGCACCTAATCTCATCCTATTGGACCTTCGTAATCTTTGGAAGTTAAATGCTTATATGCCTACTAAACCATAGGACCATTCTGATGCTGAAGTACTTGATCAGTCGATCTTACCAAGAGTTGCACTGCTTCTTTTTCATCAGCAATACTTAATCTT